ATGGTAAAGTTTTTCTTCTTCGCCAGCAGCTCCTTATTCTTTTCTTGCCTGGGTATGACAAAGTTTTCTTGCGCTTGTTATTTTCCACGTGCACCGCTCGATATCAAAGAAAACAACAGGCAAGATTTCAAGCAGCGGATTTCCCCCTCTTTCCATTTTCATTTTCCGACCCCCTTCGCCACTTCAATTGAGCGGTGGCGGCTGCTTTTAATGTTTCTGTTTTTCCGTTGTTATATTTTCCTTTTTTATTTTGATTTTGCCAGCGGCTTCTTGCATCGCCCAGCCCCCTTTGGAAAATCTGCGTAATCATCGGCAGACGGTCACGGGAGAAGCGGAACAGGAAAAATAAGTTTTGCCGCAAAAATAAATAAATAAATAACATTTTGTATAATAAAATGCAGGCTTGGTGGGGGGCAAAACTCGAGTAAACAACAGGAAGCATAAATTGTGTTATTGTAGCTAAAAAGGAAGTGGCAAGGGAAGGCGGAGAAACTGGTCGAACTTTGATGTGATTAGGCCTGGTTGAGCGGAAATGGTTAGTTTGACGCAAAGCTGGACTGGAAATGTAATCAAGCGAATTAAATTTGTCTTAAAGTGAATTCTTCTTATCAATTTTTGACATCTTTCAAAGAAACCAAAACTAAATGGCATAATTACGGTATGTTTCTCACCCCCCAGTGAACATGATTTAATCACAGTTCTGAACGGGGTGCTCGTAGAAATAGAAGAGGATCCCTCATGTTCATCTGACATTCAACTCCCAACAGCAACTCCCCGGCACATTTGCCAAATCAATATGCAATATCCCACAAGTAACGGATTTCAAACTGCCACACACACTCACTGACACACTCACTGGGCAATCATATCAATGGGGAGAGAACTGAGAGAACCGCCTGTCATAAAAGCCGCACACACAAAAATACAAGTAGTTGGCTGTATCAAGAGGGAACTGTGGCATGAAAAGCACAAAAACTAGGTTAGTTGCCGAGATTTTTTACCTTCGCTAACATGACCTCTCCTCCTCTTCTATTTCTCCGGCCAACAAGCTCCCAACAAAAATAACAATTGCCCCCTCTAACCCCTGACCTAGCCATCTACCATTCTGCCCACTCGCCGTCCCAAAGCCATCCGTTCATGTCTCTGCCAATGCATTTCAAAACAGGAGTAGCAGCAGCAGCAGCAGAAGAAGCGAATCGGGGAAGGCGTTTGGCCACGCCCACGCCCACTATGCCACCGCCCCCACCATATCTGTCAAGTGAACTGGAAGTGATACGGATATATGGAGAGGGATGGATGGAGGTTGGAAGGAAGAACGCTAAGCGTGTTCACGTGCAAAATTGCAGCGATTCCCTAGCGGGTTTCGGTTTCTCCTTCAAAATCGAATTCACTTTGTTGGATGCACTGGGAAAAAATTATATTCTTATAGTAAGAAATCGCCAGTCTCAACATTATAGCTTTCCTTTTACATCATTAACAATTAAGATATTGGTTTAAGTTATGACTAAGGTGATCTTTTAAAAAATAAGATGATTTTTATAAACTAAAAAAAGAATAGAAAATTTTTCCTCAGTGCACTTTGTGAATGTTCTTGTGACGATGTGCGTATGCGAGTGCAATTCGAGTTCGATTTGGAGTGTGATCGATGACGATGACGGGCAGGATGCGATGCGAACAGGAAACGGACTGCCAAGGATTTTAATCAGCTGTTGTCGCTGCCCATGAAGTTGGGCTTGGTTGGGGAAGGCAGCTTTTGGAAGCCGATCGGTTGTGGTAACGTCCATTCGTCCAATCGTCCTCCTGCGAACACCAAAGGGACGGCCAGTTGAGAGAACAAAGGAGCTGCTGACTGATTGCCAGTACAGGCATTTGTCTTAGGCATACATGAGCTTACATAGCCAGAGGTAGGAGGAAGTCCTTCAATATCTGAATTTTTAATTTCCTGGCCAATATTTCGTGCAATCCTCATACTAGCTATACACCCCGTACACACACTATAAGACAATAGTACTGAGACTAAAGTTTGGGATTTTTGTACTTTTCACTTATGTTTGTTTTTAGACACAATTCTAATTAGAATATTTTGAAGCTTAATTTTATTTATAGTATGGTTATAGGTTTCCTTATATATTGTTTTCATTGTGCTCTTACACATAAGACCTATTAGCATTCGCCCTAATTTATTTGGCTTCTCATTCAACGTCACTCCCCCAACTTTGGTTTGGCACACCATCTTTCTGGCCACAGATTGTTTGTTCGCATTGCAACGCCGCTAAATTGTTTGTCTTTTGTGTGTGTGTATGGGAGTGTGTGTGCTTGAATCTCTGATGCTGCAACCCATCCCAATCCGAATGTCCCTTCATTTCGTAGTACCCCATCGATGTGCGTGCAATGCCATTAACCATACGCCCAATGCCAAAAACGGGCAAACGCGCCAAATCCATTGTTATTTCGGTGGTCGATTGTTGTTCTTCCGGCTTGCGTGAGCTTACTGTTGCCCCAGCCACGCCCCTTACTCCTCGGCCGCCCCTGCGCTGGGTAAATTGTGCAAACAAACAGCGGATGTTAGAGTGGATTCAAGGGAATGGGTTGTTCTGAAAGGATGCTGCTGAAGCACTTAAAAAATTTGTTTTTTGTTTTTATGTGCAACAAAGGTTAAAATTGTATATCAGAAAGATAGTATTATATTTTTTAAAAGAAAGAACTATCTTTAATTAGATAAATTATTATTATTATTCCATACTTTAACTTCTTTTCTTTGAGTGCATACAGAGGTTGTGCCACAAATCGCTTCAATTTTGGTACTCCCACCCTTGACTCCACTCATCTCTTTTGCCGAAACAGTTGGAGGATAATTTGGCGAATTGGTGGAGGAGGGCGAATGAAGTGGGCCTGGGCTTTTGTTTTTTCAGCTCGGTTTGTTCTCAACTGCAATAATCTTATTAGCAGTTTGTTGTTCGAACCTAATCAATTACCAACGTAATTACAAACTTTGCTAATCTGCCTCGGTTTCCCCAGCAACGCTTTCCCACGCCTTTTCCCCCATATTGTTCATGACCGTGTCAGTGCTCGTGGTGTTCGTGTCCCTGTCCGTGTTCATGTGTTTTGTTCACGTCTAGATTGGAGTACATCCTGCATACATGTAGTACCAATCCTCTCGTGGGTTCGTTGGCTGGAACGCGCTTCGTTGATGCGGCTCAAATTTAGTGGCCTAAATAGCGATTTATCCAGTGGAGCATGACAAAAGATCTCATCAAACGTTGGCAAATTGTTAACCAGAAACTGATGGAGTTGGAGGCGGAAGGCATTTCGATTAAGCGTTAGTTGAGAGGGTTTGTTGTCTTACTGCCAGGCTGGTTCACAGGGGTCGGCAGATTGGAACTCAATTACCAGGCTCATAATGGTTTCTGTTAGTGCTCTTTAAATATGCATTAATATTAGCTAATCCCTTATTAATCAAATTGTTTACCATGGTAAATAATTAAACGACATTAAATAAAATTATTTAACAAGAAGGTATAACATTCTATATTCCGACCATTCTCAGTGTTATTATGGCAGATACAAAAGAATTTTGTGCCGAAAAATCGACTATACAACCCTGAGCACTTTCTTTAGAATTAAATAATCCCTTTTTATCAAGATTTTCCAAACCATCGTACAGATCAATGCGCCGCCAATCAATTTCCCAACCTTACCATTCTTGCACCGTTTATCTATTGGGATTTTGCTAGAGGAATGCCAAAAACTTTTTGGCTTAATCAAATGCCAAAATATTTGAATATGCCAAGACGAAATTATTGCCGTGTAAGCTCCGCTTGACGCCCTTCCCCCTGTCTGGCATTTGCTTTCGACAGAAGCTGTGAAAACTTTTCCACGCATGATTTAAATGGGAATAAATCTTGCGTTAAGACTCGACTTGGATTTGGATTATGCAAGGCCTGGGATAAGAGAGAGAACTGGAGAAGGAACTGCTGCGTCACGTAGTTGGCAAATTTGTTTACACGTCCTCCTGCCGGTTTTGGCCCCTCGCAGCACCCTGGTTTTAGAATCTCGCCAGAACCCCTGGGTTACCTCCACCCCCTCGACAGCTCAACAATTGGCATAAAGTTTCTCATATGCAAATCGCAAGTTTAGCAAAATATTTCGTTTATTGTTGAAGTTTTCCTTAGTTACTCTCGCTTGCTCTCTCTCTGTGAGTCGTCAACATTTTGTATGTTTTCCGTTCATTTTTCCTGACTTGCCTTGGCTGAAAGTTTTTCCTTGGAAAGTTTTTTGGCTTAAGACATTTTTGATAAATTATCCAGCGTGAGTTTTCTGTGTAAGTTTTTGCCAGTAAAAATGTGTTCTCTTTTTTTTTAATAAAATCATGACACCTTTTATTGATTTACTTATTCTGTTTCGGATGCTGATGTGTGATTTTGTGTGGGTGTGGGTGGTGTGGGCGTGTGTTGCATAGCAATATACACTGAAGACTTAATAAATACATATATAATCCATTTACTTAACTAACTGCGTTTTATCACTAGAATTACGTTCTCGCTGTTTACTGCCTTAGTATAGAGCCTCGGCGATTATTTTCTTAGTTTTTCCAAACTTTTATTTTTCATTCTGCTCGCAAATATTAAATCGTATTCTAATTTCCTTTATCCGAAAGTGAAGTTAGCTTAAAATCTAATCAGAACACACAGCCTTGCTTTGTTTCTCTAAAAAATTACACTTAGCAGCTAAATATTAATTACACATTTAATTACACAAAGAACACTTCTTGTTTATTAATCTTAGACTCCTAAAGGTGAATGCTAATTTCTGCGTTGAAATTATTTTTAATTTAAAGCCACATCCAGATAGTTTGTATAAAATGCACACAGCTTAGACTCTACTTAAAACGGAAACTTAAAAACTCAGTTGAAAAACGGAAAATAATTTAGCTAACCTTTCCATGTGATTTGTCAATGCTTTTCTTCGGCTCTAAAACCAATTTCACCACAAACCGGAACTCAGTGTGTTTTTATAAATTTATTTTGTTAAAATTATTTTTTGCTTTACAAGCTTATAAAATGGCTTTTCTTGGCTATCGTACAACATGTTTCCATATTCAATTTACAGTTTTTCCAATATGTTTGTGGTTTTAAAATGTACAGTTCTTTGGAATTTTTATGCGACAGCAGTGGAATAGGCATTTATTTTTGTAGGACTTTCGAGACTCAAGCTTTTAATATTTACAAGTTTCAGGGACCTAAGCGTCTTCTAAGAACGATTAGCAAACAACTGAAATGGGAAAGGCATTAGAAAATAAGATTACCAATTAAAGGAAGACGGCTCAAAACTTACCTCTTAACTGGCGGATTGCATCAACTACCACTCGACTTTGCCTTTCCAAAAATAAAAATAAATTTGCAAAGACTCTTGCAAACCTCAACATATCATCTGGGGAGTAAAAATAGTTACTAATTAGTTTACATTTTCATTTGCTTAGTTAGAGTTGTGTTAAAGTGTTTAGAGACCAGGGAATGTTCACTGAAAAGAATGAAAGAATAAACTAAAAAGTAATCAACATAAATCACAAATAATTACCTTTTCGTATTATTAACCAAAGAGACATAAGCAAAGCTTTAGGCACACAGATTAAAGTACTTTTTTTTTGTGCATTTGAAACAAAGAACAAAACTTTATTTAGATATGTATATGCTGTGTGTGGTATGAAGTGTTTACATATGTGCATGATTTTTACATAAACAAAGTATGCTACATAAGGCACTTATCTACTTCAGAGATGTGCGACGACAGAAAGCCAAATAAACTTCAACTAAAACAAAGAGTTTACAACGATATGAATCATATATAGTAATATAATACCAGATTTATGTAAATTTGGATGTGGCAAATGTAGCAAATGATGAAAACTAAGGGAAAATAAAATAATAAACTTCATTAATGAGACTTCAACATAAATAACAAGTTTTTCATTATTCGATTTCATTTGGTTCGTTGTCTTTTTTATGCATAGTTCCGTTTTTACAAATCGCATAATTAACACTGAGAAGCGTAGGTAAATTTGTTTGTTCAACTAATAATTATAATAATAGTAGTATGTTTACAAAAACATTTCCTTTTTTTTTGTTCAGTACAAATAAAAAATGTGTGAGTTAGTTTTGGGGGAGTAACAAATCAGATAACTAAAAACTAATTATGCGCAGAGGCATAAATGTGGGGTTTTTTTTATATATATAAAAAGAGATAATCCATTGAACAAAACGAGTAACTTGTAACTATAACTAGAATATATATCATGTGGGTGAATATATATCGTAATAAAGAACTTCATTGTGACTTGCAACGTGAGAGATGAACAAATCAAACAGAGAAAGAGCGAGTATAAAATTATGAGATATATCAAAAACTTATCAACTAACACTCGAACAGATCTTTGTATTTATTTTTTTGTTTCTTTAATTTCCGTTTTTTGTTTTTTGTTTTTCGTTTTTTGTTGTTTGTTTTTCGTTTGTGAGTCATGAAAATGTATACAAAATATTTAATAAAAAGGCGATGGTGGTTCAGCCAACTCGTACGACAGTTTAAAAATAAGAAAACAAGTCGTAAAAGATTGGGTTCCAGGGGAACTTCAACAGAAAGGTAACTAACTACGGTCTAAGAGTTGTAATTTTCGTTTCTTTTTTTTTTTTTGGTTTTTCTTTTTGTTTTTTTTTTTTTCTAATTCAACATATAACGTGCTATAAATCATAGGTGATTCTGTCTCTTTTGGCACAGATTTCATGTCTTTTTCTGCTCTTGTTTTTTGTTTATGTTTTTGTTTTTGTTTTTGGTTTTTTTCATGATACGTACAACGTTGGCTTTCGCATCATCGTTTACTCTTGCAACGCGCGCTCTACACGGGCAACTCTTCATTCATTGACTACTCCATATTTCACAAATCTCAGTATTCCTCTCCTCAATGTGCCCGGACAACCACGCTGCTGATGCTTGGAATCCTCCGGCTCTGCCCTCTAGTAGGGCTTCGAGTCCTTGGGCTTCTTCAGCTGCACCTTGAGGCGCTTCGTGCCCACCTGGAAACCGTTCATCGCCTTGATGGCCACCTGGGCCGAGTCCGGATTGTCGAACGAGACGAAGCCGAAGCATTTCGACAGGCTGGTCTGCTTGTCGATGAACACCTTGGCCGAGATCACATTGCCGAATGGCAGGAACGTGGAGGCCAGATCCGTATCAGTGAACTCCTGCGGCAGATGGTAGATGAACAAATTGCAGCCCTCGGGCCCTGGAAAATAAGTTAAAGAATAAAGTTAAAGTTAAGTTTTCTTCTCATTCTATTCTTCCCCTTGTTTGGGGTAGTGCCATATCAGCTTTGGTGGTTTCTACTCCTACATTTCACCCACACCTTTCAGAACAATTAATTAACTAGTTGCATCCATTTACGCGCTGCGTTTTCCCTTAACAGTCACTCCTCCCCTCCAATTTTCCACCCACCAAACCGCAGAACGGAGACGGAAAGTTGAGCGGACAAAGTCTGAAATTATATGGGTCCACTGGCAGAGATTAGGGGAAAGGGAAACCTCGCCAGCAGCAGCTGATTGCCAAAACGGAAGCGGATATGATGAGCCCCCACACCCAAAGCGCTCTCCCCTTGTACGTGTGTGGGTGTGACACTTTGTTTAGGGGAGCACGTGCTATTGCGACTGCTGACATCGTCATCATTATCTGTTGGAGCATTATCATCGCCATTCCTGGTACTATCATCATGGCTCTGTCTCGGTCGCTCTGTCGCTCTGTCGCCCTATCCCCCCTTCCTCACCATCACACACACACACACACACACACTTACATTAATGTGGCGCTCGCGCCTCGTGCTGCGGTTGCACTTTTCGTGCAAATTACTGTCAACGTCACTGGCAATGAGCAGTCAGCAGTCAGCAGTCAGCAGTAATACAACCCACCAGCATCCAAAATCCAAAGCAAAAGCAGCTCAGATAGAAAGAGACGGAGCTACTTGATAGACAGAGATGGCGAGCTGGGACTGGTAGAAGGAGAAGGGTGAAAGCCGCGTCAGCAGTCGCGTTTTCACTTTCATGATGCTTTTTAATGACAGCAAAACGCTTCGAATGGCAACTGGCATTTTGCGGTCTTTCATTTTTATCAGAATGAAACACAAAAACAAAAAAGGAAGGAAAAACAATGGTAAATGAAAGAAGAGAAAACCCTCTTCTTGTGAAAAAGGAGAACAAAGATATTAATATTTAACTATATGTAGATAATAAATAATAAATAACCAGTCTAAGTGCGAACTTAATTATGAGAGAAACTCTTTTCCTACAACCCCAAAAAGTATGCTACACAAATGCTGTCTCCATATGTTTTACCTCATTAAGTTTTCAATTTTCCCCTTCGATGATGTCCTCTTAATCATATCATTAAAGCAAACTGCTACACTCTTTGATGTGCCCCCACACGAACCCATCGCTGTAATCTGATATGTTTGTAGTGGTGGTGTTCCAGGACATCATTCAGTCACCCATTCCCAGCCCACTACCATAACTCTCACTCCATCATCGTTTGCCAGAAGCACTGCTATTGATCACCTTGATGTATGAGTTGGCCACCGTAGGCCTGCAATCCCAGTGGTAGGTTACACCTTCACAGCCCTCAATCCCTCCTCCAATCTCACTTCTCACATCTCCATTCTCCTTCCCTCTGAATGACAACACGCCCCTCAAGGTAAACTGACTGCTGACAGATTGGCCGACGCTGATGCGATTACAAAATGAAGCCAAATTGAATGGCGAAGAAAGCTGCTGCTCCTCCGGAGGCATCTCCTTCGGTCACAAGCCGTTGACGTTGCCAGGATTTTAATATTAATTGACTCAGGGTTCGTGATGCACTTGTTGCTCTGTAATTTTGCACACGCTCACAGCCTTACACCCATCAATTAATTTGGGCTCTCGGAAGGTGGAAGTGAAAAGCAAAATGCGGAGTAAAAACTCCAATTAAAAATGCTTCAAGCTATTGAATTACGCGACTAACAAGCGACACGTGTGGCCCGACACGATATATAATTAGATGAAAGGACAAATGTAGGGGCGCTTGAGCAGGCAGGCAAGCTGGCAAGCAGGCACGAGCGAGCTGTTCTCAAGGCAACAAATTAAGGCAACAATTTTGAATGGCACTTCAGTGATTTTTGGGAGAAGCTTTCGAGTTGAGTGGAAAAACCTTATCCTCCATTATATTTGTCTCCCTTAATATTAGAATTTCTCATTAAATGATAAATGCACGAAAAAGTAGAAGAAACATTGCAGAAATCTTGCACTATAAATCTATATACAGCCAACTATTTATTACAACTTTAAACTTTTCCATCCGCAAAACCTTTCCTTAAGAACCAAATTTATATTCAAAACTAAATCCATATGCAGTCAGTGGGGGGAGTTTACTCAACTTTCTATAAATTCAGTTAGCTGTCAACTGCAAAATGTTTTCCCCATATTTTGGTAACCAGAAATGTGTAACTTCTTGGAATTCGCCAAGGATTTCCCCTCTCTTCTGCCCTTACAAATAAACTTCCTGTTTTGTTTTTTCTCAACTCAAATTTCTTCTGCTTCTTTTTTCGGTTGGAATTTTTCAGTGTGCGAAAAACGATTTCCTATATTGCATTTTCCTCTTCCGTCGAGCAAAGAAGCGCCATCCGCCTTGGCGATGTCCCCTACCCGTTTTCGCTATTGATGCACTCGTATCCAGAAGGGGAATAAAGGGAGATGTTAGTTGCAGATGCACATTCCCTCCGTTTCCTTCTCTTCTATTTCCCACAGTTAGGGCGACCCAACATTTTTTGCTATTTTCCTGGCTGTCGCGCTCACCGAACTGAGCTGGAGAAAGTCTTCCTTTATTTTCCTATTCCTCTCAAGGGCACGAAGAACGAGGCGGAAGGAAGCCAAATGGAATCTATGGCACATAAGCTACAGTTCCAGTTCAGCCTGCACATATATCTCAGTTTCTTTATTGATTTTAATGCGACTTGTGCACTGCGAGAACTTGGCAATACAAAATCACAATCTTATACAGAGATATTTTTGATTATCTTTCTCAGTAATCCTATCTTTCTCAGCTAAACTAGATGAAGAATATATTTTTCAAGATGAACTCAGTTTTTTGTTGAGTGCTTTAATTTCTGCCCCCTCATAACCATAGCCACTCACTTGCAGGCACATCCTTTACCCCTTCTATAATATATAATTCCGCCCAGCATCCCAGCGCAAAAGTCGCAAATCTGCGATGTCTCTCTGGCCATCTTTGTGGCTCCTCACCACTGGCCCACCTCCTCTCTTGGTGCACATACAACATTTGGTTATTTTATATTCCAACTTCCGGCTTATGCACATGACTTTAATCCGGATGCAGCCGGAAGGAGAGGCGACCGCTGCCGCCTTAGGGTCACCCATGCGATGATGAAGGCAGGGGGATTCCCATCGTCTGTCACTGTCATATTTGCTGCTGCCCTCCGTTCCGTCCGCCCCCCTCTTTCTCAACCGGAGTTTCCGGCCTCTTCCTCGTCGTTTAAAAGCGTAGTTCTTGGCCGCTTTTGACTTCTTTTTTTGATATTTTATAACATATTTTTTTCATATTTTATATTTATTTTATTTTTTTTCTTTCGCCTCCGTTTCCTGCTTAATTTTGTGCCTGTCGTCTGGCCCTGTCTACATGCTTATAAGTTGTTTCCTGCTTCCAAGCCCATCCTTATCTTCCGCTTAACCACCCACTATCGCCGCCCCCAGCCCAAGCCCCTTCCTTCCTTTCTGCTGTTGTGGAGCTGTCGTCATTTGATAAATTTCACATGTTGGGAATTTATCTGCTTTAGACATTGTTGTTGCACTTGTTCTGCCCTTTTGCGCTACGCAGATTGCATAAATCCGAGGTTTTTTAGAATTTTCCAAGCATACATTTTCCCTACTAACCTAAGAAGTTCAATGAAATTGGCTTTGGAACGAGTTTTGGAAAGCATTACAAGGATATAAGATTTAGAAATCAATTCTTTAAGCCGATTGGGAAGAAGAGATATGGAAACTACCTAAAGCTGCCCCTCCTTTTCCACAAACCCTGTCAAATCGGAGTCAATTACCCATTAACCACTTCCTGTCTGCGATCTCCCCCCTATCTCATCCAATAATTATTTAGAGCTTAGATCCTATCCCTACCCCCCTCCCTAGCCAAAAGTCGTTTTCCATTTAAGCAGCTCCAAGTCATCTATGATAGTTTTTCACAGTCCAACCAAACGAGGCGAAACATGGCAGCTCACATTTCGCATTTCGACTAGCAAGAGCAATTTGTTGGGCTTCCACAGACAGGACCACACAGTCCTCGCTTCCTTCAGGACTCCTCTCTCTGCTGTGACCCTGCGATTCCCCGGTTTGTTGTTGTTGTAGTTGGTCAGAAGGGAATTTTCGGCGACGTCATGAGTCAGCAGACCAAACAAGGATTCGCACACACAATAGGACAAAGGACGAGGCAAGCAAAAGTGGAGGAGTCACAGGAGACGAAGGGCCAGAGAAGAGTCACTCAACTGCAAAAATATATCTCACTATATGGTGTATAAAATACAGAGAGAGAAATATGGGAGTAGGTATTTAATGTCCTTTAAATTCGCAAATAGATTTGGAAACATAAGAAACATTTCCTTTAAGATGGAACTTGCTATATGAATTTCAGGAAAATGTTATTCAGAGTTAACATCAAGGCTTAGTAGTTAACATATTTTTAAGCCACTTTTTTCCCACTGCACCTGCATAACAGATGAAGCACCCCTCGGCCCTTCACCCAGCCACACTCGAAGGATGTTCGCTTATGTAACCGGAAATACAGCAAAAAGTGCAATGCCAAAACATTTTCCGTTGCATTTTGCCAACATTTCGAATATCTCTCTCCCTGTTGCAACTTTAATGTTATGTTATGTGTGCCAAAGTGGGCGGGAAAAGGCAACGCTCGGTTGCCATATTTCCCCGATATCGACAGCGACGTACGTCTGACTAATGGAATTGTGTGTCAAGTGTGTGTAATATTTACACTGTGTCGGGGAGCTGATAAAAATTTAAGCCCCACCAAAACGCTCCTCATAAATTCTCCTTAGCGAGTGTGTGCGAGATGCTGGAAAGAGGAGTTTAGAGGGCAGAAAAGTGAAGCGTACAGGATGATGGATCTTATTGATTTTTGCTACATCTCTCCCAGGCATTGGCTTATGGCATTGAAGGATTTGTGTCAGCAAAAGACATTCGATTGCGGATTAAAGGGGCGTCTGTGCAGTCAAGAGGGCGTGGCAAAGGAGATTGAAATTCTTGTGAGATATCTTAGCTTCGTTTCGAGGATTTTGATTTGTAGTGCGGAGAGACTTGAAAATCTTCTACTCAAAGTTATGAAAATGAAAATGCTCTCTCTTCTCATACACAAATTCCATCTTTTATCCAACTGCATAACATTTGATAGATGACTTTTCATATAAAAAATAGGGCCCCTGCTCCTCCTTCTCTTCCTGCAACACAATAAAAGCGTCGAGAACAATGGCATTTCTAAAACTCTAAGTAGATTAGACAGACATCCACAAAATGTCCATGACAAGTGGGATTTGGCAGCGTAAGGGGTAAGGACATTCGGATGGAAATAATGCAGGGGCAATGAACAGAAAACAACAAAAAAGGATGCAAAAAATAACCGCAACACGAGCGAATGACGCTGACAGCGATGAGCGGGCTTAATGCATGTGATGTTGCCTCATCAGCGGCAGAAACCAAATACAACAGCAGATGTGGCAAGTGGAGAAGGACTATGTTAAATAGTATATACCCTAACTTTTAGAATGCTAAAAAGATGTAAAAATTTAATATTTTCCACATTTTGCTGTTCACACATTTCCCCTTTAGTATATACCAACTTTAATAAGAGTATTTAGACTCCAAACTTATATAACCAAAAAATATCGCATACAAAGCGAACAATTTGGTATTGGACTGACACAACCGCAGCGGCACTCATTCGGCCATTTTACTACATTTATCAAAATGTCAGGCTTTTAGACATTTCTATTTCTAACGTGGGCGTGTAACTCTGCCCCACCACTTTCCCCCTCTTCTACTACAAAACTGATTACCCACTAAAGTGCCAATGTACCGGCGAAAATATAACAGAAATTCTAATAATTATTTTTAAAAAATAATAAAAATGTTTTTTTTTTTTTTTAACTAATTTCTGCATTTAAAGCTCAGGACTTGACAGACTGTCTATATTACGTATACGACTGGTGTTACTGTAGTATTTTTCCAATAAGATTTTTAAGTTATTTTCCCTGAACTGAATTCTATTATAAACAAATTAAATATATTTCTCTCAGTATACTTTTTGCGGGTGACTCACCTTCAATCTGCTTTCCCGCTGCGGCGGCTGCTGCCGCACTGAGGGCAACGCTGGCCAGCGGCGAAGTGGACAATGCACTGGCACTCCCGAACTGCGGTAGACCGGCGGCTGTTGACATATAGGCCGATGCCAATGGATTCGGATCGGACCCTGAATATAGATGAAAAATCAGGAAATGAGAGAGGGAAGTACATATTAGTTGGTGTCGTACAAGGGGAAATTTTAAAAATTTGTAAAGTAAATCATAATACGGTGTGGATGAGATGGTATAAAATCGGGAAATAAGTTTGCGTTTATGAAAGGGCAAAGAGAGTAATAAAAAAAAAGTTCAAATAAATATTCAGTTTGATAAGGAAAAAGGTTTGCAATACCAACTAAAGAATAACAATTTTCACATATTTTTATCCTTTACAAAATATTTTACTATATTTTTTTAGATATTTCTGTGAACTTGCAATATTTTCAAATTAAATTCCGACCAACCATCATAATTAAACAGAACTAGTTTTCCGCATTGTTTTACCTCCAATTTGCCTCTATATAATTATTATTTAGTTGGTCTCGTCGTTTCGTCAGACGTAATTAATCATCGAATTTCGTGCCCTGCCACGCGGGGCGACATTTGATTATTTTACAAAGCACACACATGACATCCGCAATAGCCAATCTGAAATTAATTTGTCTCTGTGCAATGTTGCTTGTTGGTTGCTGGCTGTTGGTTGTGTTCTGGTTTCGGGTTTTGTGTAATTTGACGCCTGTTGTTTGTTATTTAGTTGTTTTGCGTGTTTCGCCATTGGCCGTCATGCAATGCAATTTTGTGGTTTCCAATCCGCCCCTGACCGGCACCCACCCCCTGTCATGATCACCGCGTTATTAATGAGTTTTGCAAACCTTTCGGTGAGTGCGAAATTTCTGAAATGTGGTCGTGTTGTATGCCGGCCACTACATTGACCTAATGCCCCACACCGTACCAAAACCAAATCTTTCATTCTGATTTCCTTTTAAGTTTCCGTTTATTTTATTTACAATTTCCAAGAATTTATTAGAATTGCAATCAAACGGGAAACTTTACTAATTTAAATACAGACAAAGAGACATGCTAAATCTTGCAGAAGCGTGTAAGCGAAAACTTTTGCACATATTTGCACGGAAAATTGTTTTAATTGCTGTTGAAGGAAAGTTTGGCACTGAAAACGGCAAGAAAAGTCGTCCAGTCGTGAGGAGTGGAATATGTATATGAAACTACTCATCATCATCAAGGAGGAGAGAGAGACGAGCTGAGCTAACTAAGTTGGCCAATAATAATCCACATGAGTGGCCCTGGCCTGTTCTCTGACTTGACCATACAACAACCAGTTAAAAACAACAAACAATGACTGAAAATGAAGAAATGGCCAAGAGAACAGAGCATAAGAAGTCGAAAAGATTGCCTAAAACTATTTTCTGGCCCGGATGTTGTCTGTTTTGTATTTGCAAGTTTTTAGTTTGCAGTTGGAAATTTGTTGTACGTCCGAGTTGAGCTGCGAAATTGTACAATTTCCAGTTCCCCTCTCTTCCTCACTTCATCTTATTTGCCACTTGCAGGCGGTAGAATACTTTTTCTACTCACTGTTATTGTTGATTTTCAAGTGCAAAAACTAAAAATTGTGTATAAACAAACGTAATGGAGAGTGGGGGGTCTGTCTGGACGAAGAGGAAGAAAGAATCCTCAACGCAGTTCAAAACGTGTTGAAACCCTAAATCAGTTTGAAGGACCTCGGGCTGGTAGTATAAACTACATAGTTTACTGCACTTGAGCCAAACTTTGATTAAGATTTTCGGTTGTTGTTGTTGGCCTGGCTCAGCTTTTCTTTTTTCTTTTTCTTTTTCTTTCTTTTTTTTTCTGTAACTACCCAACTTGCTGGAGAGGTCAAAGGAGTGAGCTAGCTTCGAAAAACTTTTTGAATTGGCTGCTCTTTAGCTTTGGTGAGGGGCGGAAAATCAAGTTGGGGTTAAAAGGAAAGGAAAAACAAAAGGCCACTCCTGCCTTTTTTTCTTAATTTTTACAGCTAACTAACTTAGTTTATGTGAAGAAAGAGGAAACTGATTAATAATATCTTAAATATGCTAATTCCTTCATCTTCCTGCAACTCAAATTTGAAACCAAAATCCCAGAGTTACATCCCTCCTTCACCAATTTCTATCTAACCCCCTTAAATATCACCACCAACCCTAAAACAATTAGTTTTTTCATTCCAATATCTCCCCCCCAACCTCGGATACATTTTCCATAAACAATATTCGGGAGGGGGCGCAGCAACAAGCAAACAAACAAAGCGGGACCAAAGTCGAGAGCTCAATTTGTTTGTCCATTTTATTTGTGGCTGGCAAAAGCCGAGAGCAGCAATAACAACGGCACAGTCACTGCAAAAAGTTTGTTACTCATGGCAACTTGGAAAGCGATTTTGTAGTTTAGTTTATGCATCCGACGACCAGAAAGGGAAAAAAGAAAATACCAAGCGGAAAGTTAGTTTTTCTCTGTATGGCAACATGGCAAGTAAACTGTGGGAAAAGCATATTGACTTTGGGATTCCCTAAGCTGTAAGAATGTTCTTAAATCCGAAACAGAAGGAAGAAACAGGCATTTTTTTGAAGAAAATATTTAAGTTAATTATAAGAAAGATACCAAAATTTAAAACTGATAATCTCTCCATAAGAAAGTTCATGATCACAACCAGCTAATATACGCCCTTAAACTACTGGGTATCAGAAAAAAGGAGAAAGAAGGACCCCCAGATAGGCGCATCCTTGCTGTCAACTGCACTTTGAACTGAATTTCTTTTTCAATTCAAAGGGGAAGGATGTAAGAGACGCAGGACATCTCCTTCGAGTCCGAGCATCGCCGGACTCCATCCGATCTCTTGGGCAAAGAATTTTTAATATTTCATTAAATGAAGTGCCCGGAAATCGTTCAAGTGGCACACGATGAGCACGCACAAGTGCACAAGGGCCAAAGCTCACGGAAAATCCTCCCCTACAAGATAAGCTCAGAGGGAAAAGCGTTGCGAAAGGACAGGGGAAGCCTGTGGAAATCCGCTTAATTTTTGGCATTTTTCTGGTTAAGTCAGCCGCAGATTTTTCTTCGTATTTTTGGCCATGTTTTTTGTTCTGTCTACTTCTCTCTCAACTTAGATCCCTCTCGAAATGAACTTGCTAAGAAAATATTTAAGAAGTGAGTGTGGAAAAGCCGGAAAATGCGGTCAGCGAATGCCCACAGATAGGCAATGACATTCCCCTGAACAGAAAACTTATATTTTTTTCTTGTTTGTGTTTCATTTTGGCTTCTGTCTTGGCCACATTTAAGTGGAATTTTCTTGTGGTTTTTCATTTGATAAAAGACGAGGCGACAGGCCATAATTCTTAGAAGAACTTTTTCTATTTTCTTTATAAAAACATAGAAATTAGCAGAAGGATTACCTTCCAGCTTATTCCATTGATATTTACTTAAATTTATATTATATAAACTTCATATTTTCCTGACCTTAATATCCTAATTCCCTATTGCCGCTTTTACTCGCCTTTTCCAGCTGCAGCTGCAAAAGTTGAAAGCCGAGAAGTGAGAAATGAAAACCGTGAACTGAGCAGAAAACATTGCAATTTCCCCAAAGCGAAAAAGTCAATGAGGCCAAGAAGGAGCTGCTGTGCTGTGCAGCGTGGCTGCCTCTTCATCCCCGCAACATTTCCCATTTCCCAGGATCAGATCCCCACTCGTAACTTCATGCCCCCTTCTCCAGAGGCTTTTGGTGCAATAAGTTCCGTGTTGTTAATTTCGCAAGAGAGTGTAACTTGTAATTTTGTACGTTGTAGGGTCTCTCTCCTGTACTTCGGATCCGAGAAACCCTTCTCCTCCTGTAAGGATACGGCCATCAACTCTCTACAGACTGGTGACGTAAAGCAGGCGACGTTAAACAAGCGCGTTACGGTGCACGTGAACGTTACGTCGAATGCTTCGTTGACTTTAACTATCAAACTTAATAACACACACATTTTTTTTATGACAAAATGAAAATGAAAGCAACATGTCAACTGCTAGCAGGCGAAGAAAACTCAAAAAGGGGAAAAACTTACTGATAAGTGTTGGAAAAATAAAAATTGAGGCAGAAAACTTTGAAAATATTCAAAGGACTTCTTACTTTTCTTTTTGGCTGCTCATTAAAATCCATTTTTGTTTTTAGGATAAGCAATTTTTAGGCAAGGGAAAGATAATATTTCAGTGAATTAGTTAATTTCTTAAAAATAATTAATCTTTTTGACAATATAAACCCTAAATAAGTTGAAATATTTGTAAACCTAAAAGGAATTCCACGCGAATCCTTACCTGCTTTCCTAGCTGCTGCTCTTTTGCCCAGAAGGCCTGGTTTTATTTTAAGCCACATTTATTTTTAGAAAAGGTTAGCAATGTTTCAGGAAGATTTAAAGAAAGTACATGTTTTTGTTAGTACAACCGAAAGTTTAATCTTCAAAGCTAATTAGACTAGAACAGCAATGACGTCAATCCCATTAACCATTTTGGCAAAGAAAATTCTTATTCGGCTATTTTAAGTCAATAATATCCTCCGAGTTTTCGCTCCAAAGAAGATTGACAAGGCCACGATTCTAATTTACCTCCATCAGTTAAGTTGGAAAAACAGAAGACGTTGGAGGAACAAGCCAAGGCCTTCATTGAATTAAGCTAATTGGCCACTTAGATTGTCAGATGATGACACATTTGTTGCCAGCAGAGCCAAGAATAGAAAGCCCATTTTCGTTGTGAGGGTTTTTTCGAGTGCAAAGTTTACCTCATTATTGACGAATTAAATTAGGAGAGCCAATGAATATTAATGAGTTTATCGATTGGTTTACTTAGGCTGCATAAAATTATATACAATATACAATTTAATTAACCAATTATAGAAAATATTAACTGGTTATTTAACCTAAATTTCCCTTTGAGGAAATTCCTCTAACTATGGCTTTAGCTTTACTTTTTGTACAAACCAAAAATAACTTTATTATTACGCCATAACCATTCGACACTCATTAAAGGCAATAACCAGGACAGCGGCGAAAAAATTCGAGTGTCCGGAAGATAATTAGAAATCGATAAAGCAGACACTAAAAGAAAAGCCAGCAACAGGCTGACGGAAAAGCAGAGGAACGGGCAAGCCCTGTGACGACGCACAAGGAAAACTACAATAAGGAAATGGAGGAAAACTAGATAATTAGCTAAAGAAACTGAGGGCTATGCCACACATCCTGATGAATTATTAGCCATGGAACTTCCTCAAGTGTTTTCCCTTTCTTTCCAATTCACTTTCCCAAAAACTCTCTTAAATTTCGTCTTAAAGTCTAAAAAAAACTTACAGAGCAGGGCAGCCGTGTTGGTCAGCTGGGCCGTTCCCGGCGAGGAGGCAGCAGCTGCTGCGGCGGCGGCATTCGTGAGACTCGGCTGCGTCATGGCCGCAATGGCCGCCAAATTCTGGACGGTCATCGGGCTTAAAAGTCCGGCGGCTGTCACAGCGCTTGTGTCCGTTGCCGCTGTACTTTGCTGGGCTCCCAGTCCTGTGAGGGCTGTAAGGGGTTAAGATCATTAGTAACTGTCTTTAATTTAGGTAACCTAATACTAGAGAGTAGTTAAGCTATATATATTTCCCACCTTGTAGCAACTGCTGTTGCAGTCCAACCGCCTGCAGTTGCTGCAGCAGTTGGATGGAGGCCGGAGTAATGGCATCGGCGCCAAGGACCGGTGAAGGCTGCTGCGGCGGGTTGGGCAGAATGGGCGTGGCCACGCTCGTGGCCGTCTGTCCCAATGGGATGTTAATATTACTAGCCAGGTTCCACAAATTAGCCTGAATCTGCTGGATCTTCTTCTGCTCCTTCTCCTTCTGAGTGTCGGCAAACTTGACGACCAATGGCGATGTGCAGCCCTCCATGATTTTGTTCTGACTAAGAGTCTTTTTTGGATTGATAAATATATAGCTATAGATCGATACATATATATAGAGATATAACTTAAAAGACTTACCAACTTAATGGCCGAAATGGCAGCGTGCTTGGTGGCAAATGTGACGAAGGCACAACCCTTACTCTGACCGTTCTGATCCCGAAGAACGGTGCACTCCTCGATGGCTCCGTGGACCTCAAATAGTTTACGTACGTCGTTCTCGTTCAGCTTCTTGTTTAGCATTCCCACAAAGAGTTTGCGTTCTGAAAGAGAAATTAATATTTAGTAAGAAACTAAAATGATTAGACTGAGAAAGGAACTAAGAAGATATATTTTGGGGTATGTAAGTATGCCAAGTCAAAAGTTTTTACTGATAAAGTTATCTATTTTTGGGTTATTTACCAACTTGAAGTTGTTTTTTAATGTTTATTCCCCCTTTTTAACCATAAAAAAGCCCAAAGTGCTAATTGCCTTTTTCAAATAAGTTCCAACCAAACTAAGATAAATCCCAGCCAAGTTAGACATAGACCTTGGCCTTGGTAAATTAATCGCTGCGTGAAACGCTGGCGGAAGCCTCAACCACATCGCCGAGCGCGACTGTAATCCAATAGCCAACGGCCTCGCCTTGGCTGAGAGTTTTGGCATTGAAAAGTGCCACACAGTCAAGTGGGTTAGGGCCAGGCCAGGCCAGGCCAGGTTCGAGTTCGAACTGGTCCAGACCGACTGCATCATATCGTCGTCGTCGTCGTGCTCAGCCAGGCTTAGTTAATTCCAGCATTTGGCAATGCTCAATTAATTTTACATAAATTAAAACTCTCCCTCGCCTCCTCCTCTGCTCTCCCTGGTGAAACTGGTCTGGACTCGATAACTAATTGGCAGGCATTTAACATTTCGCCAAATATTTGCACTTTCCATGGAAAAGGAAGGGCTCTAAGTTAGGCGGTGGCGTGGGGGAGGCGGAAAATGGGCAACTAATTTATTTGCACAAACACGCAAAATGCGCACTGCACAAATTAATTGTTATCGAATGTGCAATTGGCTGAGAATGTTTTTTGGGAAAAGCGGCGGGGGGGAGGCATTTCCATGATGTGATGTGCGGTTGTTTGTGCGGGCGGCAGCAGCAGCAGCACCAGCAGATCGTTTCAGTTGGCTGGGCTTTCTATCTTTTAACTAAACCAAATTGCAAATCAATTGGCTTAAATACATTTAAAGTGCTGACGATTACTGCCGAGCGGATTAAATTTGTACAACTCGGCAAAAATAAATAAACAAACCTAATTCAGTTTGGGGGATTTTCATGTCGACAAATGTTTATGACAGGTTCAATTTTAAAGATTTTCATAGGTTTAAATTTGTATTTTAACAGCAAGGGAAAATGAAAACCAATCGTTTGATATACAAAACAAGAGGAAACGCTATAGTCGGGTGCCGCGACTATAAGATACCCGTTACTGTTTTACAAAATTTTAAAATATTATTTTGCTAGTGGAAATTCACAATGCGCCACCTATTGTCAGAGGAAGTTTATAGGATGCTTATAGTGACGTCACTGCCCATGTAAGGCCTTATAACTTAATTTCTTTATAAACAGCGAAATAATGTTTCGATTTGAAAAATCTTTGGTAAATCGATAGATATTAACAGAAATAAGTTACACGAGGTCAAACGAAGGCATTCATAATAATATTATAGACGCCACAGTTTTCCGCGGTTTGTGGGCGTTAGAGTGGGCGTGGCTGGGTGCAATTTCGTGGCAAGTTGCAGAGGCGTCTCCTTAATACGTGCTCCTAAGCAAAATTGTGTAGCTCTTATAGTTTTTGAGATTTTTGCATTTTTGGTTTTTCGGGTTTTGTGGGCGTTAGAGTAGGCGTGGCTTGATCGGAAAAAAACAATTCGCATTGGGAGCATTATAGAAACCTACATGCTTTATCCGAAATTTTTATGTTTTATAGTTACCGAGATATCAGCTTTTCTAGAAAATCCGAAAACCGTCTTTTGAGCCGTGTGGGCGTATGGGTGGGTGTGGCCGGATAGTAGTATCACTATAAGATGCGTTGCCATCTAAAGATTATACTTTCTGAGTTTCAACATTCTAACTCCATTAGTTCCTGAGATTTCAGCAATTTTAGTTTTTTGCGATTTGTGGGCGTTAGAGTGGGCGTGGCAGGATGCTGTAATAAACTTGCGCTGTCCCGGGACCTCAAGAATCTTCATGCTTAATCTCAACGTTGAATCTGCTATAGTTCCTGAGATCTCAGCGTTCATACGGACGGACGGACGGACGGACGGACGGACGGACGGACGGACAGACGGACATGGCTCAATCGACTTCGCTATTGATCCTGATCAAGAATATATATACTTTATAGGGTCGCAAATGCTTCCTTCTATCTGTTACATACTTTTCAACGAATCTAGTATACCCTTTTACTCTACGAGTAACGGGTATAAATATTCCTCTAATAACAGAAGATTTCAAATTCATTTCTAAATTCCTCTTTTAAAGTTTTTTATTCCTAATTTCTTGTTTTTACAACTTTATTAAACGAATATTTTGGCATCCAAATTAGTGTCCTTACATATTTATTCATCCTTCCCTTTGTAGATTAACCCTTTGCCTTACCACCCCCCCAACAAAGCCCAATTAATATTTTGCGCTGGCCAACTACTATTTTTTGGCAATATCCACCGAAAAATCGTCTATAAAATAGCTTTTGTTATAAATTATTATTTTATCGCTTCAATAAACGCCAAATTTTTAGCCAATGCAAATTATGTTTTATGCGGCCGGCCAGCAAGCAATTTGCCAGGTCGGAAAAGCTGGCCATAAGCCGCCCACTTGGAAATCTGTTTTTGGAAATCAATTAAAATTATAATTAAGCTGCTTATGGGGTGGAAATTGATTTTTAGTAGCCATTCTGGTCATTGACTTTGCGCGGGTATTTAAAATTACTATTCGAAACTTATTATTACTACTGCCATGGGAGGGTTTTTATGATGGTCTGTGGTGTAACCGCAAGGAGTGTTGAAATTCAGCTTAATGGCTGGGAATTCTAATGCCTCGGGTTTTCCACCCTTTCCCATTTCGATCTGCCACTTGCTACTCTGCTGCTTGCCACATTTCAAGGCATCATCCGTGCTGCAATGCGGCTCCATCTCCTAAAGTCTCCTCCTTTTGCTGGTCTCTCTATCGCCGCCCCCAATTCAATTGCCATTCCAAGTGCTGATGCTGCATCGTCATCATTATTATCATCATCTTCCCCTAGGCGTTATCAAATGCAAAACCATACACACCCACAGTCACCCACCCACACACACAGAGAGAGCACTTGCACCATTATTATTATTATGATTATCGCAAACTGCAAGTGCAACTGCAGCAGCGACATCGACTAACTGCACTTGAGCTATATTATCATAATCCTAGCAGAAATTGTGCGCAGTCAGCGGCAGCAGAAGCAACATTTCCACTGGGAAAAGGAATTTTAAAATTCATTGAATTCGATTCTTGACGGTGGCTGAATGCCAATGCCCCCTCTCTATCCCCTTATACACACCACCCACTCTATCCACTATCCTCCATCCAATTCCATAATTCAAGTCCCTCTTCCCGAAAAAGTAAACAAACTTGGCGTGGCGGTGACCTCATTAGTTCCGATCAGCTGCAAATTGAAAGCTTTTCCTATCGCCAACGAGGGATTAAAGTCAAGCAAGCCAGAATGGGAAAATATTATGTATTTACTTAAATTAAAAGGAAATTCTTGGGTGGAGATATAAGTCTTTAAGGAAAAGAATTATAAAAGAATTTCTCTGCTTAGCGAACCTCGCAAAGTCTCAACCAGCTTTCAATTTAAACTTAAATTCTCCGACTAAGACGGCCGACGAGAAAACTTTACCTTTAAGTCCTGGCAGGAAAATTGCTTTAGTTTTAAATTATTAATATGTCGGACCCGGGCGGCTGCTCTCTCGTCGCAGTTTCCTCTTAACCCGGCCAAAATGAAGGGGATTGGATGTCGGGTGGCTGGAAAATGGACGAGTCAGTGAGCCGGCTTCGGGGTAATGCAACTAATCTGCTTCTAGTGGCGCACATTAAGTGTTGCCACGCTTTCGACTTTAATTTGAAAACATAAAGCAGAAGCAGGATAAGGAGGAGGGGAGGTGGCAGCCAGGGAAGCGGCTAAAGTGCGGGCCACTTTTCCAACCTACATTCATACACACATTTACCCAGGACTTTATTTTTCCTTGCTCCTCTGCGCTGGCCATTTCTGCATGCAACTCAACTTAACCGAGCGACCACTCGAACCTCGCTGGCCCCACCACCAAACCCGCCAAAACCTGAACCGGAGAACTACGACCAAAGAGAGTGAGTCTGGGTGTTGGGGAAGCCAGGGAAACCCAGAACCCCAAACCCAAAACCGAAACCAAATGCAGGGCGAACGAGCCATGACATCGACGTCCTGAAGGCCCCTCTTTCCCACTCTGCATTCGCGCCCCCTTCTTCTTTGGATTCTGCATGTAATGAGTGGGTTATGCAAAATATTTAATCTTGGTACTGAAACGACTACAAGTATACCTATTAGTTTGTTTACACAAAAGTGAAGTATCAGGAGGGCTTAAGGAAACTGTGGATTAAACACCTTGTAAGCCTTTTCTAGAGAAACGCTCACTTTGAGCGTCGAGATTGCGTTTAAATATTCTTAAATGGATAGCTTTTAGCCTACCACGTCTTCAGGGACTCCTTCAAGTTAATAATTTTCAAAGGTAATAAGTAAGTAATCCTTAACGGTGTACAAATTAAACCCTCTAAGGATCAAATTTAACATTTTCTCTCTATTAAACTATAAAATTTATGAAATATAATTCATAATAATTACAGCCCTATATTTTTCTTTTCTTTTCTTTGAAAACCTCACCCAGTTTATCATTTCCGAAAATCCAAAAATGGCAGCCGCGCAACGCTCATAAAAACGGGTCATATTTGCCGCCATTCCAGCCGAGTGTGTGTATGTGTGTGTGAATGTGGCTGTGCATCCTTCAGTCAAACCATCCCCTAGTAACCCACCTAGTAAGCCCCACCTATATGCATACCCACCCACCTCACACCACCCCTTTTTAGACCGTACACTTGGCTTAGCTTATTTATGTCACAAATATGAGCAAACGCGTACGCAATGCCATGGCTGGATGGACTTGCCTTGGTTGGCTAGAACCGCCCAACCGCCCAACCGCCCAACCGCCCAACCCCCTACTCCACACCCCCCAT